GCCCAATTTTTTTATTTTTAATAGAGACAGGGTCTCATGGTGTTGCTCAGGCTAATCTTGAACTCTTCACCTCAAGTGATTCTCCCTCATTGGCCTCCCAAGGTGTTAGGATTACTGGTGTGAGCCACTGAGCTAGCCTTTATGTGTGTGTGTGTATATATATACGTGTGTGTGTGTGTGTGTGTATATATATATATATATATATATATGGAAGAGTGGCTGTCTGAGGAGGCCAGCAAGGATTTGAGCAGAGCATTTAAGAAGGAGCGAGGGTTGGATAGGTGTGCTGTGGTGCTGGGGCTTTAGGGTAGAGACAGAGGGTACTCCAGCAGAAGAGACTGCTGAGAATAAAGCCTAAAATAGTCAAGGAGACAGATTAGCACATGGAGTTCACAAATGTCAAGCCAAAAAAAAGAGGCTGGAAAGGTGAGAAGAAAGGCCTTCAGTGCCAAGCTAAGAAATTTTACCTTTCTTATCTGTGTGATAGAAAGCCATTTATGGTTGCTGAGAAGACACTTGTGTTTTAGAAAAATAACTAAGGACAGGGTGAGGAATGGTTTGGAGAAGGAAGACTGGAGGCAGGAAGCTTTTGCAGAACTAAATGCTAAAAAGGAAATAGCTTTAACTCAGGTTTGGCATTGAAATCAAGAAAGGAATAGACCATTTCTTTGGTAGAATCTCTTATTGATTTGTATGAACTCTTTATGTGTTAAGACTATAAAGTCTTTATCAGTTTGTTCTTTTCCTTTTAATTTTGTATATGAGACTTTGGTCAACAGAAGTCTTATGTAAAAAGAAAATTATCAATATTTTCCTTTCTGATTTATTCATATTACTTTGACACCTAGAACATCTTTCCCTAATCCAAGATCAGTGAAATATTTACTTGTATTTTTTCCTACTTTTCTCTATGTTATTATTTTTTCTTTTTGACAGAGCCTCAAGCTGTCCCCCTGAGTAGAGTACCATGGCATCACAGCTCACAGCAACCTCCAACTCCTGGACTCAAGTGAGTCTCCTGCCTCTGCCTCCCAAGTAGCTGGGATCACAGGCCTCTGCCACAACCCCTGGCTACTTTTTTTTTGGTTGCAGCCATCATTGTTGTTTGGCAGGCCCGGGCTGGATTCGAACCCACCACCTTAGGCGTATGTGGCTGGCGCCTTGCCCACTTGAGCCACAGGCGCAGAGCCATCTATGTTCTTTTTTAACGTTTAATTCTAACCTATCTGGTGTGCCAAAGGTCCTAGATTGCATATTGCATTTTTATATAAATTCCCTAGAGACTCTTTTTGGCAAATATTCCCACAATAGTTAAGTGAGTTATTAAGTAATAAGAAAGTTAATATTTCTAAGTTAATAGTATTATAAAAAACATTCTCTTACCTCAGAGACAAAGTTGACAAATATTTATAATGAAACAAGTCACATAAAAGACAGCTTTGACAATTTTTGAAAAAAAAATTTTTTTTTTTTTTGAGACAGAGCCTCAAGCTGTCCCCCTGGATAGAGTACTGTGACATCATAGCTCACAGCAACCTCCAACTCCTGGGCTCAAGCGATTCTCTTGCCTCAGCCTCCCAAGTAGCTGAGACTACAGGCACCTGCTACAATGCCCGGCTATTTTTTGGTTGTAGCTGTCATTGTTATTTGGCAGGCCCGGGCTAGATTCGAACCCACCAGCTCTGGTGTATATGGCTGATGCCTTAGCTGCTTGAGCTATAGACACTGAGCCAATTTTTGAAATTTTTTTTTTTAATTTTCTAAGTAGGGCAGCACCTGCCTGTGGCTCAAAGGAGTAGGGCACCGGCCCCATATGCCGGAAGTGGCAGGTTCAAACCTAGCCCCAGCCAAAAAAAAAACCTGCAAAAAAGAAAAAAAATTTCTAAGTAAGTGACCAGGTGCAGTGGCTCACACCTACAATCCCCACACTCTGGGAAGCCAAAGCAGATGGATCATTTGAGCTTAACAGTTCATGACCAGCCTGAGCAAGATGGAGACCCTATCTCTACTAAAAATAGAAAAAACTAGCTAGGTGAATTAGCACACATCTATAGTCCCCGCTACTTGGGAGCCTGAGACAAGCAAATCATTGGAGCCCACAAATTTAAGGTTGCTGTGAACTATAATGCCACAGCACTCTACCTAGGTCAACAGAGTAAGACTCTGTATCAAAAAGACTCCTCCCCCCATCTTTACTAAAAATAGAAAAATTACCTGGGCATTGTGGCAGGTACCTGCAGGCTCAGCTACTCAGGAGACTAAGGCAGAAGGATCTCTTGAACCTAGGAGTTTGAGGTTGCTATGAGGTATGACACCTTGGTACTCTACCCAAGGCAATTGAATGAGACTCTGTCTCAAAAAAACAATGAAATAAAAAATGTGAAAAGAAATTTGTAATATAGACCAAAAAGTTCTAACATGTGTCTAATTGGGATCTCAGGAAAAGAGACATTAGAGAGAAGAGCATAATGATAATATTTAATTATATAATGGCTGTGAATTTTCTAGAACTGATGAAAACTTGAGTCACAGACCCAAGAAACAAAATATATCTCAAAAAAAATAAAATGAAATTCACACCTAGACACAAAATACTCAAACTTCAGAAGCTCAAAGACAAAGAGAAAAAAGAAGCCAGATAGAGCAAGATCATACAAAGGAATGACAATTGGAATGAATTTTCAACAACAATCATGAAAACCAGACATAGTGAAATAATATCTAAATAACATGAAAACATTATGTACCTAGATGTTCCACTGTGGACATGTTTATGCAAATCTACCTCTAGAGTCCAAGGAAGCTACAAGATTGAAGAAAGAGACCGACATATCCAGTTTCTCAGAAAGAAACATTTAACAGAGATTTAGAAACAGAAACCATGTCTTGGGCAGCAGTGTGATGAGACAAGATGGTGGATCCCCAAACCATTACCTGCCAGATATATACCAGTGCGAAGGAGTGTTTAGGCAATTGACTTCTCAGGGAAAGGCAAGAATGTGTGTGAATCTGCCTAAGCATTGTTCTGGTCAGTGTTGTTCTGATCTAAGGGTAGGATTCATAGTAACAGGAGATAAAATAGAAATCTTAGAGGCAGTCCGAGAACAGGGTTTAATCAGTGGTTAACTTGCTAGCTTCATACCAAAGATGGAGTTGCTTTAGCCTCCACACCAGAATTATGCACCCAGAAAAAAACTCTGTATCCGGGCCAG